AAATCATATCTAATTGAACAAATATTAGCTACGTTAGAGTGTATAAGGTAAAAGTGAATATTTTATCTGTAAATAAAAGTATTATCGTGGGTTGAGTGGTACAAGTAGCGAAGTAACAAACTACGTAATACCACAGATTACCAATAAATATGATACTTCGTAATCGATGAGTCTGAAGAGTCACCAACTCAAATACCATCATTAGGATGGTGGATAAACGTGCCCCATGATTTGACTAAGGCCTGCTATACACGGACAGCTTGAAGCAGTTAGTGTCGGCAGCTTCAAGCTGCGACTGCATAGCAAACTACAGAAACAGTCTGTTGTAACTGCTCGAGCGGTTCCGTGTATGTGTGTACGTAGTGTACTGTAGTTTGCTATGCAGTCGCAGCTTGAAGCTGTCGGATACTAGCTGCTTCAAGCTCGCCGTGTATGGCAGGCCTAAGTTGCAGAACTTATGGCTGGTAGAGTTAAAAGCTCGGCTCTATATGATATTATCTGGATAACTTTTTCCCAATGCGAGTCATCATGGTCCAGTCTTGGAAAAGTTTTACATTAAATGTTATAGGTGGGATTGGCTTTTTTCGGAACTGCTACTTGACATTTTAAAATTCTGCATCCCATTCATCATTCTAATTTTCCACACCTTCAAACGGTGCCCTATTTCTATTCTGGACGACGAATCCCAGTCAATTAGGTAGTTATGTTGCAATAAACCTTTCGTGATGTCCACTATTACGTTTGGAACTGATTTATTACTAGAAAAGCGTAATTATTACCCAAGGTGACGCTAATCTTATACATATGGAATGGATCATTGAGTATGAATCATAATGCGGTCGTTGATCCTTGTGAACTGTATGCTTCCTGCTTATTAGAATGTATTATGATAACTTGTAAACAATAGAAATTTACATAGACTCGTCAGGAGATTGAAATGTTAGAATGAAAGTCCGAGGAACTAAGTGACTAAAAACATAATAATATATTATTGACATTATAATTTGTTGGTTTTTTGTCGAGACTAATTTGGTTACTCTACGTAACCAATGTGTGTTTATTTCTCATTGGACTTGCTCTTGATTACTAGGTACCTACCTATGTTGTCACCTGAAACTTTCAGGCTAGTTAGGTACTAACAAATGCAATAACAAGTTTTTTGGTTCTAGATTCAACACTATTACTTCATTCTCATATCCTTCTCCAGTTAGGGAACGTAGATAGAGGTAGTTTATTTTTTTACAAGTGCGCCTAAGCGTACACCACATTCGCTCTACCCTGGAGTCAGCAATGGAGGGAGCTTATCTACCTGGACAGTTTTATTATTATTTATGTAGAGTTCTAAACCAACGAAGTCAGTCTTTGTATGTATTTGCACAATTTTCTTCTGCCCGGTGCCATAATGGCGCATTGAAATCTATCAGAGCGTGAGAAACGCATACCGATTTGTATATCCGATACTCGAAACGTCTGATATTTCTAATTACACACTTTCGCCACTGCAATTTTCTCCCGAGATATCAAAACCTCTATACCTATTATTAAGAATGATTTGTTTAATTATCTAAATACAAAGTTTCACTTTTAACGCAAATTATTCGGGGTTTCCTATTCGGTTCCCATGCGAGTTAGATTCTGAGAAGTAGAAGATGCATGTTGCGTGCTAGAGATTGCTGCGAACGTAAATTTAGTTTTTACTTTTCCTTCGCAACCGTAATGCAGTTGATATTTACCAGTTTTTGCAACAACCGCGTATAATTTGTCGTTTTTACTTCAGCGCGGGCTTTGACCTTTCCGTTCATGTCATAAGGTGCCTTTTACTTTTCTTTCCCTCTCCTCAATTTCAGTAAATGTCAAAATTAAGAATGGATTGTCTTTTTGGTTCATTTCAAAAACTATTAAAAGAGGACTTCAAAATCTTTTGTCTCTACCAACTTTCACTCTAAAAATGAATTACTCTGTGAACATTGCCTCTACCATGAGTTGCCATCGAAAACTTGTATTCGTATACTACAGTCGATAGAGTTTAAACGTGGATCGATGAAGTTTGCATTAAAATCATACCATGAGTTCAATTACCGTATACTTTACTCGCCAGCGATAATTCGATGGTTTTGTGATGTCATGTTGGTGAACATGTAAACGTATCCAACTTCACACTCTATGAATGGATGAATGAAAGAACGAATGCCGCTCCTTTCTAACTATATAGAAAAGACAGAGTAGGAAATAACGAAAATGTCAAAAATAACACTGCAAAATTTAAGTGTCCTAGAACAGTGCTTAAAGCTGAAATAACATGATGATTTTAAATTTGTATTGTTTATTTCTTGTCATTGCGACTTTGACGCAGCTGTTGTCATGACAACAGACAAATAAACATGTTTTGTTGAAGAATTATTGATGAATAATTTTCCACAAAAAATTGGATTTTAACCAGGATAGGAAAGTGAGAACCTGAGGCTATCCGTTTAAACCGATTGTAGAATTTATGGAAAGGTAAGTTAAGTAAAAATAAACATACTATGTAGTGGAGGAATTTCAAAATTAAACGAATAATTTTGAGCTGGCTTTTTTGAAGAAATACAACCTTTCCAGCATAACTTCCACGTGCCTAGCTAAAATTCAGTAATATGAGTGCTAGATTTATATTTTCTAGATACAATAAAGTTGTTTTTCTATAGATATGGCGATCTGAGTATGCCCACTGAAGGGCCCCAAGAAAGAGCCAACAATAGTCAACGGTGGGTGGAACTAACGGACACGCGAACGTGAAATGCTGATGCCACCGGCGACACCAAAACTACTGAGAAATTGAGAAGTGTGTATAAATACCTACTATACTATATTCATTTTGATTACTTTTATCTTATTTCGTCATTATTATTTGTAATGTTTATTTGTTAAGGTGTGGAGTGACTTTAAACAGCAAGAAGAAGGCAACTCGCATACACAGAGCTGCCAAGGGAACACTGGACTGGTGGCGGTCCAGGTTCTTCCCTGAAGCCAAAGGATTTAGAGCAGAGTGCTTGTAAATAACTACTTGTAAATTAAATCCATAATAAAGACCTAGGGTAACTGGATGGATATACCTACCTTATTATTGTAAAACTTAAGATATTATAATTAATTAAATACATTATATTGTTTTAATCTTTCATGGTCACTAAACATACATGGTAGCAATCTCGTCAGTAATAATAATTAACCTAAATACATATCCTACTAATGTCCTACTTAATATTAAAAATGCGAAAGTTTGGATGTCTGGATGTTTGTTACTCTTTCACGCAAAAACTACTAAACGGATTTTGATGAAACTTTACAGTATTATTGTTTATAACCCAGATTAACATATAGGCTATAATTATGACGATCTGTGACAAACTAAATTTCACGCGGACGAAGCCGCGGGCAAAAGCTAGTGGAAAATAAAATGATTAATTTTTATTGACTATTTATTTCACAAAACCTAATAGGTACATAATACACAGACTGATTAAAAACAAAAGTAAATTTCAACTTATGAAAATACATATTCATTGTCGGATTAGCTTTCTATCATGATCTCGTAAGGCTGCGTTTCCACCAGAGATGTGCGAGGATGCGTAGCGAAGGATGTGTTTGTAAAGAACCAATAGAATCGCTTCATTTACCTCGCCTCGGTCAGCACATCTCTGGTAGAAAAGGCTCAGGCTGTACAACACTAATGAGCATTTTCAAATCTCTGCTACACATCCTCGTACGATACATTTTCCTCGCACAGCTTTGGTGGAAACCCGCACACATTTTCACAGCACAGCTAGACATCTTCGCACGACACAATTCCCTCGCATATCTCTGGGAAACGCAGCATCCTCTCCCTCCCCCAAGGATCTCCCTCAGGATCTCCACAATGTGCCCGCATCCAGGTTCTTCCCGCTATCTTTACCAGATCGTCGGTCCACCTAGTGGGAGGTCTGCCCACATGCTGATAACATGTTCCATCGTAATAAACTTCTTTCCGACATAATTTAATAAAGAAAACACCTAAAATGACCTTAAACCACAATTTTATTTTGCTTTTCACACGTCAATAAGCCAGTGAGTTACGTTACTGTGACAGCTAAGGTATTTTTCGATGACATCTTTGAAAATTGCAACTCATGGTAAGTTATTTGTATGAAACTTAATAAAAACTTTAGTCGCTATCGTATTAATTTAGATAGGTTTTTTACCTAACGATTTGAGATGAACTCATGGTAGTGTTTTTAGTTTTGCTGTGGTTCAGCTACTAACCGCTAGAGGCGCTGTACAATTTGCCATACATTTTTTTACGCCCTCGATAGCGAGATGCTCGGTAGGTAAACTCATGGTAGAGGCACATAACTCTAATTATCTGCAACAACAGCGTTCGTGTGAACATAACTAATTGCTCTGAGTTATTGAGTCATCAAATTCGCGTTTTGTTCCATTTTATGACCATAACATCAGATTGCTGTATCGTCCGTGCTATCAGTTCCGTGGCCTATTGTTGTAATTTAGATACGTAATCCATCAAAGTAATTAGTCTCGTTGCAAAAACAGTCCTTATCGCCGTCGGATCCGTCTTCAGTAAATTAGTTACTCAAAACTAAATTAGCATGCCGCATTGTGTTAAATACAAAAGATGCAAACTGGTCGGTTTAGGACCGTCTGGTTATTCGGTTAGAGCACTAATCTCAGTCAAGGTCGGTTGCAATTAAAAATACATACAATCGAAAATAAAACACAACACAAACAAAGCGAGAGCATTCCGAAGAACTCAGACTCTTAAATCAAAAATCACTTTTTCTTGTTAATGCGTTTAATAAATGGAAGAAAAAGACGCTAACTCAACATTGTAGAGTAAGAACATTTGCTTGCGTGGATAAGTTTTGGTGCGTTTGCAGTTTGGACGATGAACACTTTTTGCCGATGTCAAATCGGGTTTTGTATTTGGGTTGAATGAAAAGGTTACCACTCGCACGAGTGGCACTCACCGTTTGTGCAAAAATAGTCATCTTTGTCCAAAATTTCATGCTGGAAGCCGTAAGCGGGCAGCCATGCATGTGAGCCCGGTGGATCGGGCCAGTCCGATATGCGGACCTCCTCCATGTCATCAACACAACACTGCACTCCACTGGTATTTCACTGTGGCACAAGCATGCATGGACTACCTTTTCGTTCGTCCATCAGGCTGTCATGGGGCTATAACGGTGGTATCGGCGCCGGTGACTGGCGAACGCGCGCGCGCGGCGGGGTGCGGCGGAGTACTGGCGGCCGGCGTATGGCGCGCGCGCTGCGATCTCTCCAAGTCTCGTTTCTCGATATCTATTGCAACAAAAAACCGGACAAGTGCAACTTGGGGTTTCGCTGACGGTGTTCCGTGAACCGACGGAAGACTGCAAGCTGTGCCCAGCTGAGATCAGACAACATCTGCTGCTGAGACGTGCCAGAAACAAATTCGTTTGAATGAATGCTAGGATTGTGGGGCAAATGAGAGTAAGTAGCGGTATTTACGGTTTGATTGAAAGTAAGACTTTCTTGCCAAGTTGTCGACCCGCAGTTACCTGAATTAAAATCTCATTTGGGTTATAACATTGTGTAGTTTTCTTCAATGAACTGCAACAATACGTATGAACAAGCAATGGCGAAACACGTAAAAAACTCGTGCCCGGCACTGGCAGCTGTCAGAGTTTCAGCTGTCTTGGCTTCGCTTTGCCTTTAATTTCGAACCAATGTGTTGTAACAAATTGCAGCGATGATCCATTTGGGTAATCAGCAAACCTAATATACTACAAAATATTTGTTGCGTTGGTGTCCCTCCAAAGAATTAAGCTGTCCACAAAGAAGACAACCATAACAGGACAACGCCAGAATTTGCACCGACAAAACGCAGGAATGTTGTTAACCACCACCAACAGACATTAACCCGTTCGCCGATTCCTCCGCGGAATACTAAAGAGGCGGCTTTAGCTCGGACTGACTGGACGGAAACCGTATCGGCATCGAAACTAGATTTACAGGCTAAGAACCAGTTGTAGACGTGACTTGCTCACATTCGGGAACAATTAAGCTTGCAGTACCTCGCTGAGACATGCAAAGTTGCTGCTGTTAACCCCAAACTCGGATGCTGATGGTTTTCATGGTCGACTCGAGAAAAGTGGGTTTTGTGGTGCAATTTTACGGTCAGCAGTAGTTCTGATGTTGATGGACCTGATATAGGTTAAAGCTTAGTTATTTTGCAAATGAAGATAATTTGTTAATCGATCATTTTGCTAGCAGGCCTTATTCACTAAGTTGCCCTTATCATATCAAGTATTTATCAAATAGGTACACCTACACCAGTGTACTAGAATGCTATCACTGATGCAGATATTACTTTGTAGAGTCTACTTACTTAAGCCTCTTTTTTTTTTAATTTATTGTCTCATAAAAGTTACATCGATTTTACTTAATACTAATCTGCCAAACTGCTTAACAGTTTGTCGGCAGCTTAACAGTTTGTCGGCAGCTTAACAGTTTGTCGGCAGATGTCTTAATTCCGTTTGTTTGCATCATAATAAATTTATTAATTGCTCCTAGACCCTTTCTCTTTCGATGAAACTCGAACTTTTAAAGGCATTTCGTAAACATTACATTTGACAGTCGCCGTTCTCTACATTTGGGTTTAACGGTGAAGTTAATCGGTTCCCAGCTCACGGTTAACTTACTTACGTGCTGTTACAAAACTTGAAAGCAGAAATTAGGAGAAAGCCTGCCTCGCCGCACAAGCCAACCTTTGTGGTAAACACTACTTAAGATTATAACAATTTTGCTTCAAATTGTTACAATTTAGGTAAATTATTGTCCGCGCTCGGAATGTTAAGGAGTATTTTTTTTTATATAAAACTTTTTACGAATGTACATTTGATATCTAAGTAGGTAGGTACCTACCTCCTACATGATCTGATACATGACATTATATCGTAGATTGGGAAAGATTACCAACCACGAATTTGTGTTGAATTCATGACAACACAAATTTTTATTTAAGTTATTTAGGAGGATAATTTATATGTGCATTATTTCCCTCTTCATTGAAATAAATATTCCCACAGTACAAAACCATGTCAAAGCTAATACACAAACCCAAATGCAGTTGTAATTGTTAAAATACACGAAGCCGAAATAATTCTTGTTTTACAATACAAACAAGAGAAATCACTGTCGTTAAAAGTAACGTTAACGTTCGCTATTCCGCAGTCATCGTTTAATCTCAAAGATAATGTAAAAATGATGGGCGCAGGTTGCGTGATCAGTACTTTCCTTTGTTTGTATAACAGCCGTTACAAATGCCGACAAACTTTGACCTATGAACTGGAAGAAAAGACATGCGCGTGCGCAGTTTTGCAGGTTGGCTATACTTTTGTGAACCCAGTATTATTATTTATTTTTTTTAAACGATTATTAGCAATTTGTATTGCACAAATTACTAATAGTCCCGTTAGCCCCTCGTGGTAAGCCAAATAAGCTTATGTTACGAGTGGGCTCCCCACAATAGTCAAGCGGCGGTGGGATTCGAACCCCCGTTTCTCGGATCTCGAGTCGACGAGTCCGAGCACTTCACCGTTGGGCTATCGGGGCTATACATTATTTAAGTTTGTCAGATTCTGTTCATTCTGTAAAATCTACTTTAAACCATAGTTAACATTAGTTAATTACTTACGTACTTGAATGCAAGATGCGAGCGATATATTTGTAAAATTCCTGGACATTCATCTGCTCATGTTTCATACACTTTTCGTAATAAAATTGAGGAGACATTGAATTATTTTTTCTTGCAAAATGGAGACGTCGAGTTCACTAACCTATGTTGTAAAGTAAATGACAGTAGATAATAATCAGTTAACTTCATGCAAATTTCAATCACTATTGTAGGTAGCCGAATTGAGATGAATTTCAAAAGCTATTAGAGTATACCGTTTTTCAATTTCGCAGGTCCCACAATACGATGTAAAGTTAAATGATGGGGAATATACAGACTCAAAGAAACATGAACCGGGAATTCAGATCATGTCAAAAATACATTAAATGCTTCCCCAACCTGTCTAGCCAGCGTGGAGAGTGTAGGCCTTCTGGTAAATAAGTAGAGACTAAAATGACCTGTGCGCTTACCATGAGTTTATCTTAGGTGTGCTCGCTAGCGACTGCGTAAAAAAATGATATTAATTGTATGACATATTGTGCAGCGCCCCTAGTGGCTACTTTCAAGAAACAAAATCTTCATAGAGATTTTTGACGTACTCGCTAGCGAGCACACCTAACGTAAATTCATGGTAGGTACACTGATGATTACTTATGAATTCACAAAGGAGAAGTTACCTCCCAAAAGTAAACTGAATAAACTGTAAGTTGTGTAATTGGAACTCACTCTTATACAAAACGTGTTATGCAGTAACTGCAATGCCATTAACCCTATACTTGGCAACGACGGTTTTGGTTAATATTTGTGATTTACACTATAAATATTGGATTTAGGACGAGTAAAAATCATGTAAAAAATACGAAAAAAAATCTTAGGTATGTAGTTTTGGAAATATAGTATGTATCTTTAAGTGCACATTGCCAGCTTTGTAGTAAATTAAAAAATGGTTTATTTGTTAGTAAAAATTAGTTATTTAAATGAATATTACTACAAAACCTTAAGCTATTCCTTAATTAAGAAATAAAAAATAAGTGTCTTTTACAAAAACTGAAAACAAAGTAAAAAACCCACTTCAAAGTCTGTAACGCCTTGCAAGTATAGCTGCATTTGGATGTATGAGAACCACTCCATCAGCGTCGTTGGAGTACCTCCTGAACCGCACACCCCTCTTACCATCCAGGAGAAGCAAATGCAGATAGGACACATAGGAATCCTGCAAGAGCATTAAAAAAATACGAGGGATATTGACGCCAACTGGTACCGAACTGTGTTCACGTCTTCGATTGAAGATAATTTGATACCCAACTTACAGTGGAAATGCAAGATAGCGGAAATGGATCTCTGGAACTCTCTGGGAAACTATGCAGCAGTCGAACTGGCTGAAATTCTTCAATCACCAGCTTTATAACCAGAAGCATGCAGCAGCCTGGATAGGCTGCTCGCTTTTTGGGGGTGATCTGGGTTGTTTGGAGTAGGAAGATAACCACCCAAGAGAATCAGGAGGCTAAGTGCGGCTTCTAATTCATCAGCTGAAGTGTAACCGCCACTAACTTTCGACCTGGTTCCAGATTTTGGAACCAGAACCAGCATTTTGCGCGCCTGATTTTGTTGCTGCAGCACAAAGTTGTCCAAAAAACAACATTCTTTATTACATGAATTAAAACTCACATCGGCATATAATTTACAGCTTTAAATATTACTAACTAATAACATGATCCCTTTTTATGCGATAAAATCTATGAAAAAAATCATGAAATAAAGTCAACGAGTACCTGGCAATGTGTCTTTAAAGATACATTCAAAATTGAAAGTAAATTATTACGTATCTGACAGTGTGCATTTAGAGATACATTCGGACAATCCGCATCGTACAAGAATAATTATACAAGTTTTGGGATGAAAAAACAGCACTATCATCAAGAAACCTTTATTAACTATCCATATTACTACAAATAATCACCAATATTCTTTAAAAAAAACACCGAAAATAATTAAAATTATCAGCCGGTGCGTAGACGCCTGTCAATGGTCTGACATTTTTTATATTACTGATAAATCTGTGCAGCCTGTAGCGATTCTATACTGTGTAACACAATCTGTAGTATTTGGGCTAATGTTATATTAAAAAAACAATTAAAAATAGTTTTTGGTTTCTCGCCCATATTTTTGTTTTGGTCAACGTATCTTTAAATGCACAATGCCAAGAAAAGGGTTAAATAGATTTATTTTGTCATATCTCCGTAAATAAATGTTCTCATTTATTCGTATCAGATTGTTGTTGAAGTTTAATCGCTGGGAACGTTACCAGCAACTACTTCTCTGCTTGATTTATGGTAATAATGGCAAATAATTTCCTAAGAAATCAGCCAGCCATATCGCTATTTATGCGCTAGAGCAGTTTAATAGATATCGCAATAATAACTATTTCAAAACGAGTTTAAAAACTTCAAACTGGTATGAATATATGGTTATTTTAGAGTTACGACTATTACATTTATTACTTCACTTGAACATTGTAAAGAACAGCTTTATGTAGGTATGAAGTGATAAGTTATATCCCAAAACGGCTAAATAAAACATTTTGGATTCAGAGTAACATAGGTTCCTTTTCGTT